TCAAAAGTTTTGAGTGTTGTAAGGTGTATCACACATATTTTTATCACCATGTGTATAGGATTGACTGTGAAACATGAAGAAAAGCGTATTATAGGACCTTTAATACAAACAGGGAAATAGATAGTAGGAGTATAAGGAACAATGCATTTGTATAGATTCGGCTGCAGCCAGTGTCTGCGTGTGCAGCACTGTACTTAACCGCACAACACCACATGTTGACACTGGCTGCAGCCAAATATATACAAATGTATCCTTTATACTCCTATTTTCAACTTTCCTATTTGTATAGAGCTTGGTGACATTTGATTTTGACATAATCTTTTTCAACCAAAGATGAAGTTACTATTCCCCAAACATTAATTTTTTTTAAACGAGAAGGTTTTAATACATTTGCGATGTGGCCCATGTAGATCTCAGCATTTGACTTCACACCAGTGAAAAAGTTAAGCTACGAGTCGATGAAGTAGCCAAATATGAGAGATGAGACAGGCCATCCACAGCTGATGGAGGAGACAGGTTTTTGCTCTGTGATGGTTTGGCGCGCAGCTTAATGTGTGAGAATTAATGTCAGAATGGGTCAAACATGAGCAAATCCTTGTTGTTTGCAGAGTTTGTGTGTGTGATGTTATGTTTTGTGAAGTAAACATCTGGAGTTTTTTTCATCAACCATGGATTCTCGGGCAGTTTTAAGAGTACCACTATCCATTCCAGTCTGGAAGGTAGTTAACTTCTCCTTTTTGTGGTTTCTTAATGTTTTTGTGTGAAGGCTCACCATCAGAATTGCGTTTTCCACGTTTGCCTGCATTTACACTTACATCTGGGTGTTCCAGTTTTTGCATATCATTTCTGTAGTTGCCCATTTAGAATTTAAGGCTGTTCTTCCATCCTTGATAGCCAGTTGATGAGCCTCGTTCCTTGAGGCATGGTTGTTCTCCTACTAGGGCTTTTGCAACAGCATCAAAGTCCTTCTCTTCTGGGTAGGCTTTAAAACTATAAATAGCTTCGGCCAGCCTGTCAAGGATGTAATGCTTCATGTCTTTTGTGACTTTGAGGTAAGTTGCATCACGGAGGTGTAATAGATTGCCTTGGCGCAGTTGATATTCCACACTAACAGAAAACTTTGGAATTATGAACGGGTCAGCCCACTCTTTGCGTACCTCCAACGATGATGAGGACAATGAGAGAGACAAGATCTCTGCATCAGCTTGGCTGTTTGTCTCACTGAAGCTCTCATTTACTTCTGTAATCTCTATGATCGGGATGATGCGAATAGTTGGCCTCTCTGGAAGTTCAGACAGATCATTCAGGTTAAAAGGAGTATTGTTAAACTCTGGATCATCATATTGCAAAGTGAATAGGTAATTTGCTCCAATGGTTGTCTTGATAGTGTTGATTAAATCCTCCACTGTGTCAGGGCATTGATTCAGAGTAAGTTTTCAAATGTCCCCTTCATTCACAATAAGTCGCATGATCATTTTCACATTGTCCATCTAGGAGACAAAAACAACATTTTTTAGCAAATGTATCAGACTCCCAATGTCCTGATTTGGATTTATGATGCATTATGTTTTTCCTTTGATTATGTATCCAGGATGTCAAAAAAAATTCTAGTTTGATTTGTTTTAACAAAGAACAAATTGCTTGAGTGTAACCATAAGCTTTCCTTGTATTTTGTAAGCACATAGTGGAAAATGTCAGTTAAATCAGACCACTTTGTCATACAAAATGAATCCACGTTGTGGCATAACTCGTAAGACCGAATGTGCTCATCATACCATGCAGTCAACTGTCTGCACACAAATATGATCTGTTTGAGTGTTTGAAGCAATGATGTGGGTGAAGTACTGATCCAGGAGCAGATATACTTTGAGGGAGAGCTCTCCGAACATCAGGCGGATATGATGAGACCGAAACCTTGGAAACTTTTGTCAACTCCACTGCTGGTCTGAAAAAATGAATTGCAGTCCAAATAATAACTAACAGCTTTCTGGTGTTTCATTGCAAGTGTCAATGCCACATTTTTGAAGTTCTCAGTTACCTTGATGGCTGTTTTGAAAAACGTATGTTTACCCTCTAAGCGTATAATCCAAAAATCCGTTAATTATCAACTGAGGGTAGTGTTCTACGTAATAGTGCTTTGGACGCAATCAAAAGCTAGGGAAGGTAGCTTGCAGCAGTTCCCTGTGTTCCAGCAGTTTTCCATCCAGAACACACATATGAGAAATGGTAGTAGCCTGATTAATGACCAGTAATCATGGCCATTACCACCGATGGTCCCTTTCACTGAATATCCTTTACTCATTGTTTGTGGCTGATCAGTCCACAAACAAACATTGGGCTAAACAAAAGTTTAGCCCAATGTTTTAATGGCCTGATTTAGATCATCAAGAGTGAAATATTTCTGGCTGATCAGGTCTGACAGGCACAGAGATAATTCTAATCCCTTCCAAAACATAATGTAAAATGGATATCCCTTGACAACATGGAAATGTTCCAGTTTCTCTGTAAGAGGGCATCCACCTTATACACCAGTGTTCTTACAAAACTGTGGGTCTTTTTTAACTTCTTGAACATGCCTATTGTGATTGATTTGGTCTCTGATCTTAAAGACACCAGAACATGCATCATGTTGTTGAATATCACTTTTGGATGTTATACAGAATCTGCAAAATTTCTGAACTGTAAAGCTATCTTGAAAGCCTGCAAGAGAATGAGTTGCAAGGTTGTCTGCAATAACAAACACAACAGTTCCTTTGATACATGCACCTAACTTTACCACAAAAACACCATGCTTCTCTGATGTGGCTAGGTCATCAATCAGATGCTCAAGCACTTTCTGATATCCACACTGTTTAATAGTGGTGGTATTGCAAAGTAGACCGAGCTGGATGCAGTTGAGGGTCGATCTATACTTTCCAGGTAGATTACCAATAGTCCAGTACACTGCACACATTTTGTGTTTTAGTTTCGATGTTCCCAGTGGATTTGCTACCTAAAAGTCATCTATGTACAGGATGAGCGCAATGGTGAATTAATCCCCGAAAAGGCTCTCCATCAACAAGTGAATTGAATTCATTTGGGGAATCCAAGTTCTTTGCCATTGCTTTATCCAAAATCTCACTTTTGTTCAACAATTGTGTTAACATACTTTGTATGGGTATGTACACAACTGATTTTGTGTCTTTTGCTGCAAGATACTCAACTGGCATTTCCAAGGGAAACAGCACCAATTACTTCTTTGACAACTGAATCATCCACATTAGGATACAATTTTATCAGCACTGACTTGACATTACTGAAAATTGGCAAAGGTATTCAATCACTTCTTGAGTTGCACTTTCTGGGATATGCAAAATGTTTTCCATTTTCAATAACAGGGAAGCCAGTTTGTGCGCAAGCTGTTTTCTTAAATCTTCTACGTCATCTTCAGAGAATTCAGACACAGTATCTAGGTCTTGGGTATCAGATATTGGCTCCTCTGCTTTTTGACTTTCATTGGCCATATCTTCATAAGTATCACATACAATTATTTCAGGCTTGAAATGCTTCAAAGATTGTTCTTTGTGCATTTGTGTACTTCGTAAATGAACAAAGTCACATGACATGCAGCGTAGCTTAACATGAGGGTTTGTTGGTCTCTGATCTGTGATTTTAGAGTGAAATCTGGAAAGATGTATTTTATGTGCATTTAAGGACTTGAACGTGCAAATACATTTGTGATGTAAACAACGAAAAGGCTCATTTCTTGTGAATGTCCCATGTTTTAGCCTTACATTTTTAAAGAGCTGTCCTCTCTTCTCACAGGAGAAATTGCAGTACTTGCATTTCCACATCATGTTTGCCTCATCTTTCAAATCTGCAAACGTACAACAATAATTACTGATACAAAATTGTATAATTAAGACTTTTTTTAATGTAAAGACAAGCAGTGGTTTATTTGGAGTCCAAATATTGAATGCAATTTAGGCCAGACTTACTAAATCCATACCCAACAAATACTTCATAATTGTTAATCTATTTGTACCGTGTAGGAATTATGCTACATAATTAACTTTAACTGGAAAACAGTGCTATGAGACTTGGGTGGCATCTCTGACTGCCACCCCCCTGACCCAGAAATGGATTAAAGGGAAGAAAATGGATGGATGGATGGATGGAAAACAGTTAATGTTAATTATATTCAATAATGTGTCAATTGAAATTCACCTTTCCTGGTTCTAACCTTTTTCCTGGTTTATGTTGTTGCTTTCCGGGGGACAAAGCATGAAAAAAAAATATTACTAGCTCTTGTTTTGAAGAACATTTTAAAATAATTCATGTTACTTTGATTATATCGCCCAACCCCCACAACAGCTCCAATGTGGTACAGGACCCGGTTTTGTTTAACTGTATTTAGCGTAACTTTCTTTCCTGCTCCTCTCCCTCGCGCGGGAGGAAAAACAAAACTTATGCAAGTGAAGTGGGTTATCTTCAATGCGATCTTCTCTGCAATTTGAGCTCGCCTGCCCCAGCCTAAATAGTGTTATTATTTCATCAACACTTTATTTCTCAAACGTGTGCATGCCCATGCCCAATGCAGCAGCGGTGGTCCTGCCACAGCGGACTGAGGAGGAGGCAGTGGGCGCATACATCGCAGCCGCTGAGTGGAGCTGAGCCAACAGACGGACGCCCCTACACTGTAGTTTCGCCATGAAACCATAGACTGTATTAGCATGAAACTACCAGCAAAAGCGCGAGCACAAGTAAAGTAACGCCCCTCAATTGTTCCAAGTAAAGACTCAATTAATTCGTGGACGTCACATCACCAGCCCTAAGCAGCCAGACAGACACAATCCCATGATACAGATCAGAAATGCAAATGTCTTTTACCGTGGCGTACTCCCCATGCCGAAAGCAGCCGTAGCAGCCGAGCTGGCTGACATAGCTTAGCTCAAACCTACACAAAGTATAGACCAGCTCCCGGTCAGCTTGCAGGGACGCTAGAGCAGAGAGCGGACTCTCTACTTGGCCTCCACAGGTGGGCTCTCTGCTCCAGCGTCCATGGAGCTGACCGGGAGCTGGTGCTCTTTGGCACTGAGCACGCGGAGGTTTGAGTCTGGTGTATAACATGAGATTCACTGCCTGACGAAGACTGGCCACGTGTACCGTATGCAATAGCAAGAAATTACACTAGACTAAAAAAATTATACAAATCAGGTTTGGTATATTAAAATTGCCTGTGCAGTTGCGTAAAGTAAAATAAAACAATTTTAGTTGAAGTACAAAGATTTTAACTCACCTTTGATGTGAAGAAAAGTAGACCCACACGTTCAAGACTTTTCTCGATGTCGGTTCCAGTGACGGGGAAATATGGGAGGAGCTTTGAAAACTTAAATATTGTGAAAGTGCTTTCAACTTAACTGAAATAGTAACATTCTCATTTAATTTTTTATTTAAGTGTTGACGTTAAAACCTATATAAACATATGCACTCAAACAATGTATTAGAATAAACTTAAAATGAATTGGACCATGTTAAATGTATTCAATCTAGTGCATCACATGCAAAACGTTACAGGTGAAGTCCATTAAGCTTCAACCAATGAGTTCTGTCTCCCACAGTTAGAACGTTTACGTTTTACAAAGAAAATCAATTACCATGTGTGTTTAAAGCTAAAACCATTTGAGTGCAATTAACTTTTGGGTTTACAGTGAAGAATGAAGAAGGAGGGAGAGAGATGAGGAGACATGATGATGAAGGGAGAGAGGAGGAGGTATGATGATGGCATACAATTTGCATATACACATTCCTGCCAGGTTATTTTGCAGTAATACAGAAATAATATTGAATCCATTTCTTCAAATAATAGTTTTATCAGTCTCCCAAAAAAAATTTCCTCTTCTAAGATTCAGCCACACTAACATTAGGGGCTGTTTTATCTCTTTTGAAACAAAGATGTTGCCTCCAAATTATCTCACAAAATTCTCCGGGTATATGACGTTCTTAAATTAGAGAACCCCCTTGCTAGTGGAATGATTTCAAGGAAGTATCACAGTAAATTTGCAAATAAACCTGTAAAAATAATAATAATAATTGTTTTGTTCCCCTTGGCTCACGGGGCGTAAACGTTTAAGGCTTGCTGGTCGTTTCAATAAAACAAAAATAGAGAATCAGTGTAAATGTTCTGAAATTTACTGTGGTGCGGGCGTGTGAATGAGTATCCGTAGGATAACCTTATGTGTAAAGAGCGCATGTGTAAAAAGGTGTAGAGCGTTGTGGCTGGCAATGTGGTGTGCAGTCCCTTACCCCTTTGGGAAAGTCAAGGTGTCTACACTGAGAGAGAGTGCTGCCTGGGCTGCCCCTCTTATAGTCCCAGGTAACACTAACCCTCAGCCAATCCATCCCTGGGCGCATGACAACCCCACCCCTAAAAGTTGACCAGAGGCCTTGCTGCAGCATGGTATGGACGAGCTGGATTCCCTGCAAGTTCCCTACAACATGCTGTAAAGCAATGTTGAAATCTTGCAAGAAAAGTGCATTAGCCTCTGTTTCTCATTTGGTTCACAAACCCAAAAGGGTTGTGGTTCATATACACAGTGACCGGATAGTGTGAGGAACCAACGTAAACCTTCAAGTGTTTGAGGGCCATAAAAAGAATTGAATCAAAGCTATTTGAAAAATTAGCTTGAGGCTTTAGAAACTGTGCTTGCAGTCCAGGGTACTACGGAAGCCTTCGATAGACAATATGTCGTCTTTGACAGTGCTCTTCCACTCTCAGTCATTCACCGGGGCCAAGGAAAGAATCCTTTAGTTTGATAAATGACCGGATCTCTCCACGTCTTGGGCACTTGACACAGTCGCACGGAGGCAACAAGTAAACAAGACCGCGTTCCGTAGCAGCACCCGCTGCACAGACTCTCTAATGTGTTTTACCATGGATCTATTATAATTAGGGCTGTCAAAATGAACGCGTTAACGCGCTTTAATTTTTTGTTGTTGTGTCAAACGCTTTTGACACATGTACGGAATAGCCCGCTCACGCAATAACACTCAGAAGTTCCAGTGTGTGAGATGGCGACAGAGCAGGTAGGCCTTAGTTAGCATTAGCACAACTTCTTATAAGATGTACAAGAATCACTGATGAAATGGCATGAAAGCAACACACTGCTAACAAAATATACAGTGCAATATAACCACTAGTTTCACGGCCAAATGTAGTCCCAGGCGGTCCCTCTCCCAGAGGTCTCTCCGGCGAGGACACGATGTATGCTAGCTATGTTCACCCGGGCTCTATTTCTTCTTTGATCATTTTTTTGCTTTAGTTCCCTCTTCTCCTCTTCACTTTTGCATCTTTTTGGCTGTTTTGCTGGGTATGCAGTTACAGCCAGAGGATATAGCCACTCTCTTCTGCCATGCTGTTCTGTTTACCTGCAGACGCTAGAGGACGTGTCCTGTTCGTAACAGCGCTGCCCCTTGGTGGAGGAGAACGAGCGTCTTGCAAGGTTTCTACTCAGCACTTTGTCTGAAGTCGTACTCAAGTTGGATCCATGAGCTAAATTTTTCAATTAAATTACAGGTTCAACTTTTAATACAGCTAAGAAAAATACTGTCTTCTACATAAAGACAGAATGTCAATAATGTTAATGCCGTTTTATGTGGATTTATTGTTGTTTTAATAAACAAATACAGTACATATGTACACTATGTTGTCATTTATCTTTCCAGTCAAACAACCATTTACAGAAAAATATGGCATAATTTTGCTGATAGTTTGAAATGCAATTAATTACGATTATTTAATTTTTAAGCAGTAATTAACTTGATTTAAAAATTTTACTGTTGGACAGCCCTAATTATAATACATGGAGGCTTAATGCCTGCAGGAGCATAAAACCACAATGATCAGAGAGGCCAGGACAAATACACAGCCTTGGCAGAACATGGCTAAAAGATAATTTTATTACTAGCGTTAGCCACGGCGCTCTATTTGCATTGGGGAGAACACTCACTCACGCTAGAGAGAAAGTATTCTGGCTTGTGGGGATTCTTTGTGTTTTATTTTAGACTCGTCCTTAAATAAGTTTAGGGCTGTGCTCGGATCGTGTCAGATTCTGCCTTGTTTTCATTACTGTCGGTGCGTGTGGTTTGCTATGTTCCAGTGATGCGTTTGCTCTATGACGTCAGACTTTTGCATGATTATTCCGTCCGTCCGTCCGTTTTCCTCCGCTTCATCCGTTGCCGGGTCGCGGGGGCAGCAGTCTAAGCAGAGACGCCCAGACTTCCCTATCCACACACACTTCCTCCAGCTCGTCCGGGGGGACCCCAAGGCGTTCCCAGGCCAGCTGAGAGACATAGTTCCTCCAGCGTGTCCTAGGTCTTCCCCGGGGCCTCCTCCCAGTGGGACGTGCCCAGAACACCTCCCCAGGGAGGCGTCCAGGAGGCATCCGGAACAGATGCCCGACCCACCTCAACTGGTTCCTCTCGACGTGGAGTAGCAGCGGCTCTACTCCGAGCTCCTCCCGTGTGACCGAGCTCCTCACCCTATCTCTAAGAGAGCGCCCAGCCACTATGCGGAGGAAGCTCATTTCGACCGCTTGTATCCGCGATCTCGTTCTTTCGGTCACTACCCAAAGCTCATGACCATAAGTGAGGGAGGGAACGAAGATTGACCGGTAAATCGAGAGCTTTGCCTTTCGGCTCAGCTCCCTCTTCACCACAACGGTCCGATACAGCGACTGCATCACTGCGCACGCTGCACCGATCCGCCTGTCAATCTCACGCTCCATCCTTCCCTCACTCGTGAACAAGACCCCGAGATACTTGAACTCCTCCACTTGAGGAAGGACCTCTCCACCCACCTGTAGAGGGCAAGGCACCTTTTTCCGGTCGAGCACCATGGCCTCAGATTTGGAGGTGCTGATTCTCATCCCAGCCCACGGGGCCCGGCTGGGCTCAGCCCGAAGGGACGACGTGGGGAGTCCCTCCTGTGGGCCCACCACCTGCAGAGGGGTCCGTGGTGGCGCGGTGCTAAGAGGACTGGGCAGCAGTCGAAGGCGGAGACCTCGGCGACCCAGTCCACACACACAACATCTGCATGATTATTTTTAAAGATTTTTCTTTGGGTTGTTCTTTTACATAAATGTGGTCTTTGTGGTTCTTTTATATTACTGTGGTCCTCCATGATCCCTTCTTCAAATTTGTGAGCGCAAGGTGAAAGCAACTAGTAGCACCTGTAAAAAAGGAAACACAATTCTCGCATCCGTTGTGTCCCTTGTCCACCACTGTATTTCAAGATGGCACAATGACACTGAGAGTACTCTGCTCTCATGGACATTTGTAAGTTGAATTCTAAGCCTATGAAAACAATTACAAAACATGGTAGAGGTAAATATTCTAAAGTCACATTTGTTATTAGTTAACATGTTTTTTTCATATGGAGCAACTGTAAAAATGACACAGGGTGGCTTTAAGGCATTCATGCAGAGGAACAAGTACAACCTTCTGGAATGACCATCTCAGTCCCCATATCTGAATAATATTGGACATTAGTGATTTGATTTAAAACAAACCTTACTGAACTGGAAATGATCTGAAAGTATGGTCCAAAATTCCTTCTACCAGAATTCAGAATGTAATTGGGACAGTTATCTAACTGTATTCTAACAGTATGTACTGTAACTATGTTCCAACTGTATACGTATACTACATAATGTAGGAGCAAGAAATTACCTATTTTTCCCCTCTATCTCAACTTTTACGTCTGAAATCATCCGGCTACCTCCACAAAACTATTTTGAATGTGATTGCACTGTTCCATTTCTGTTCAAGATCAAACTTTTTATATTCAAAACTCTTTAGATACCTTTCCGGAATCCGGATGTGCAATAAATAGTTTTTTGAGCATGAGGATTAACACATATCAAGTTGTAGTGACTTAACTTGTGGGGGACCACAAAAGGTCAATACTGGGATCCACATTATTCATAATGTACGTTCATGGAAAATGAAAACACAAAGTAATGTTTCTGTGTGTGCCTCACCCAGGATGGCCAGCACCATGCCCTCCTTCAGCACCTCCATGGACCCTGAGCACACAAAGAAGATGGCCTGCAGGGCATCCCCCTCTCGCAGTAGGAACTCGCCCGGCGCACAGAAGGTGGTTTTGATGTGCAGAGACAGAGAGCGCAGACATCCCCGGCTGGCCGACGCAAACAGAGACAGCTCCAGTATCTCCTTATTGAGGTGCATGGTGATGTCAGAACGCAGTTCATCAGGGAAGTCTTTCAGCAGCTGCACACATAAGAACAGCTTATTATGGGTGACTACCATTGCAATTCTATAGCACTGACAACCAAAGTAGGGAGTGAAACTGTCAGTCTGAGCAGAAAAACAACGCTGATTGTAAAAGCAAAAATAGAGTATGGTATGCAATAAAAAAATAAATAAATCTTCTTTACATTTCTTAAAAATAACTACTATATTCAAGTGCACTAAGTACACTCAAAATACGTTAACAGTGCAGTTATAGTGACAGTAGTACATACAGTACTTTTGGCCTCCCTCTCTCTTTAAGAAAAGTGAAAAGAGAGGACCACCCTCACTCGGGGCTAGCCTGACTCTCACCAGACCCTTGCAGTTCCGTTTCCGTTTTGTTTCTATCGTCAAAAATGGGGAAAAAAGGTCACATTTTGCCGCTCCACTGCTCAAAAAACGTTTTACTGATCAAAATTCCTTGAAGTCATTTTTATGGTACATGTGTTGAGATGATTTGGAGCGGTTTTGAGGCAAATCTGTGAAAAGGCAGAGGCTGGTTTGATGTTTGTGTGAGGTGTACATTTCCCATAGACAATGAATGGAGAGCATTTGTCGTTGCCACGGCAACAGGGTAAAAAATGGGCCCTATTTACTTTTTTAATCAAGAGGGCAAAACAGATTTATGTGCAAAATTTCAAACATTTTGAAAAAAAACTAAATGTGAAAATTCCCATATAAAACTTTGAAATAGTCTGTAGGGGGCGCTAATGTGTCAATTTGAATCATTTTACTTTCAAATGACCTACACCCTGGAGTTGAACAACGTATTAAAGTTTTTTTTAATTGGCTGTTGTAGGTGGCGCTATAGAGCCAATTTTAAAATTGTAACTTTCAAATGACCTAGACCCTAGAGTTGAGCCATGGATTCAAGTTTTGTGCAAATCAGACTTTGTTTGTGCAAACGGAAGCAATTTTTCTATTGTCAAAAACTGAAAAAAATGTGCCACTTTTTGGCGCTCCACGTTTCCGTGATCAATATTGGCTGAAATTAAAATGATGGTACGTGTGTTTAGACGATGTGGAGCGATTTTGAGGCAAATCGGTGAAACCGCCGAGGAGGAGTCGCTTTCCAACCGACATGTATGAAAAGGATCATTTTTCATTTTTCCATTTTGAAGGGAAATGTATGGGCTTCCTGTTTGTCAAGGGTCTTCTCCATAATATTATTTCATGTCTTGAGTAGAGGAATATATGTACCAAATTTCATGTAGAGGTTTTGCACCACCATGTGACCTACATAGCTAGATGTTAGATGTTAGATGTTAGATGGCAGGTATGAAACTTTATACAGTCAGATTCAACCAGTGGGGGCGGGTCCCCTCTCAAAAGTGGCCAAAATGACGTGCGCTGACATGCTTGCAATACCACCCCGGGCCGATGGGGGTGGACCCAGAAGAAGAATTAGCCAATGCTAACATATAGCGTTGGCAGACCTCTCAAAAACGTCTTTACAGGATGGACCAAAAGTTGGCTCTTGGCCCAAAGCTCCGTTCCACATGTGTGTCAATGCTGAGGGGGGTGAATTTTTTTGGTCCACTCTAGTTTACTCGCTGTGAAGTTTCTCGTTCAAATGAATGGAGCTGCGCCGGCTGACGCATACGCAGATGGTTTTTTCACAATTGTCTTGTGGGTGGGACCACTCGCGGCCATCTTGGATTGCTCCATGAAAGCACTTTTCATGGCCAACTCCTATGAACGGCGGAGATAGGCGTGACTCTGTCCGTTATTATATACAGTCTATGGATTCAACACAGTGGCCGAGAGTGCACCTTTACTTAGACTGATGGGAAAGTTTACCTGCGTCTTTAATTATGGTAAACGCTCAGAGCAAGACAAAGATGTCTATTTTGTTTTAAATACCGGCCGTAATTTGCCATCAAGGAGAAGAAACTATCAAAAAAGTGACTGCAGCAATGGTTAGCAAGCTAGCATTTGTGACAATGCAGTTCAAAACGGGGAATCAATAACGTGCTTGTCTGTTCTTGTCATTTTCACCTAAGTTAGTTGTTCTAATAAAAATATTGCGTTGGAGTAAAAAGTCTATCAGTGACGTGCTGTTGGTGACTGAGGCACGGACTTCCTCACAATCAGATTTAACTACATATCAACAGGACATACAGAGGGTTATTCACACATGGTCCGCATTGTTTGCTCAAACAAAACGCCAAAGTAAAAAGCACATTTAAAAGTGTGTTATGGTCTTACCTTATATGAACTCCATACACCATTTCATTCAGTTCAGACAAGTTTCATGTTTATGTCCAGATAATAGTTTAGTATAGATATGTAATCCTCCGTTTACAATGTAGATTATCCATCCATCCATTTTCTTCCCCTTAATCCATTTCTGGGTCGGGGGGGTGACAGTCAGAGCTGCACCCAGTCCAAATAGCACCAGCCCCTCAATGACCCTCCTGCAGGTGGTGAGTCCACAGGAGCTGAGATCTTTCAGTGGGAGCTTCAGGCAAAGTTGGGTTAAGTGTCTTGCCCAAGGACACAACGACAGCAGTCATCAGTGGGAGTCGTGAAGTAGGTCTTATGGTGGGCTTGAACCCACGACCTTCAGGCTCAAAGGCCAATGCTCTACCAACTGAGCTACTGTCCTATATGGGTGTCCTTGTTTTGCTAGCTCCATGCTGCAGCCCCAACTTTCAGGTGCGTCCAATTAGTTAAATCCACTTTCTTATCCTTTTACTTCAAATTCCACTAGAAAGCCTCTTTGGTAGCTCCTCCTCTGCTGAGAGCAGCTACAAGTTTAGCTAACATACTTTTCATGTAATACATGTTAAGATAGAAAAGATGTAAAGATGCCACTCATACCAATCATATGCTTCCAATGAGATAGGAATGATAAGAAAAGGATAATAAAGTGGATTTAACAAAATGGACGCACCCGATTCGGACCCGAAAGTCGAGGCTGCAGCATGGAGGGACACCCATATTTGTTCTTTTTCCTTTTTGAATCTTATTTCCAAATGGAGGATTACATAATCTACATTGTAAACGGAGGATTACATAGAATCCGTGTACCCTTCGATCATTAGTTATTCCATTTCAAAATAAAATCAGAAAATCAAAATTTCCGTTCGTTTATTGTTCTTTTCCTTTTCTAAACCTGAATAAAAAAATAAATCCGTGAATCCGTGTACCCTTCGATCATTAGTTATTCCGTTTCAAAATAAAATCAGAAAAACAAATTACGTGGTTGTTTTATTGTATTTCCATTTTCTGAATTAAATTGGAAAATCAAAACATCCATCCATCCATCCATTTTCTTCCCCTTAATCCATTTCTGGGTCGGGTGGGTGGCCAGAGATGCCACCCAGTACACAGAGCACCAGCCCCTCACTGATCCTCCTGCAGGTGGTGAGTCCACAGGAGCTGAGATCTTTCAGTGGGGGCTTCAGGCAAAGTGGGGTTAAGTGTCTTGCCCAAGGACACAACGACAGCAGTCATCAGTGGGAGTCGTGAAGTAGGTCTTACGGTGGGCTCGAACCCCCAACCTTCAGGCTCAAAGGCCAATGCTCTACCAACTGAGCTACTGTCGCCCCTCAAATCAAAACATTCTAAATAAAATATTCACCCATTTCTTTGCTATGCAGTGGAAACAAACACTACTAAAACAACTTCCATTATTTTGTTTGATATGCTACCGGAAATGATGAGTGGTGAGAGACGGAAACAACTGCAAGCTGCACTCAACTCAACTCAACTACACGACAACAACTCGCGCAGTTGTTGAGCTCGCCCCCAGGCCCGAGCTCCAGGGGCAAAATGCTTACAGCACCTGGTATTCCCAGGCGGTTTCCCATCCAAGTACTAACCAGGCCCGACCTTGCCTAGCTTCCAATGATCAAACGAGATCGGGCATTCTCAAGGTGGTATGGCCGTAAGCACAGAGGAATGGAGCAGCGTGCCTCCTGACCCTGCTGCTGCGGTCCTCTCCTCCCCCAGAATGAGCGCTCTTGGGCGGATGGCAGGCGCGCGGTCACCCCGGTGGTTTCCAAGGGCCATAACTTTCTGGTCCTTTGTCCCCCGCGCGTCAAATTCACACCGCGGGTACCCCGGGACCAGGGGAGTCCCTGGGTACCCGCGGTGTGAATTTGACGCGTGGGGGATAAAGGACCAGAAAGTTATGGCCCTTGGAAACCACCGGGGGTCTGCCATCCGCCCAAGAGCGCTCATTTTGGGGGAGGAGAAGCTCGGCTTCCAGGGCTTGTCAAAAACGAACCAGGGATGCTAGAGACACGGGGTTTTCACCCACGCACTCCTCCTCCGGAAAGCGGGGCTTTTTCTAAACTTTTATCTGGACTTAAACAGGAAACTGATCTGAACTGAATGAAGTGGTGTATGGAGTTCATATAAGGTAAGACCATAACACACTTTTAAATGTGCTTTTTACTTTTTTGAGCAAACAATGCGGACCATGTGTGAATAATTGTCTGTATGTCCTGCTGATATGTAGTTAAATCTGATTGTGATGAAGTCAGTGCCTCAGTCACCAACCGCACGTCACTGACAGGCTTTTTACTCCAACGCAATGTTTTTATTAGAACAACTAACTTAGGTGAAAATGACAAGAACAGACAAACACGTTATTGATTTCTCCGTTTTGAACTGCACTGTCACAAATGCTAGCTTGCTAACCATTGCTGCAGTCGCTTTTTCGATAGTTTATTTTCCTTGATGGCGAATTACGGCCGGTATTTAAAAGAAAATAGACATCTTTGTCTTGCTCTGAGCGTTTACCACAATTAAAGACGCAGCTAAACTTTCCAGCACTCTCGGCCACTGTGTTGAATCTGACTGTATAAAGTTTCATACCTGCCATCTAACATGGCCGCCTAGTGACGGTTGCTATGTACAGTGCCTTGCGAAAGTATTCGGCCCCCTTGAACCTTTAAACATTTCGCCACATTTCAGGCTTCGAACATAAAAATATTTTTAAAAAAGAATCAACAACAAGTGGGACACAA